CCCCCCCCCCCCCCCCCACCAAAAGAACATCAACATGTGGCCAATAATTCCTTTGGTTTGTGTGAATAAGAGACTTAGTAGTCTCCTTTTTCAATGCTTATATAAGCTCATCCCTGAGCATTGTAAACACATATATTGTATTCCCATTTTCAACTTAGTAATACACTTGTTTGTGTGTGCTATTTTAAATTCCTAAATCTATATCTTAAGAGCGCTTCTCTTGAGTGTGAGTTTTAGGTTCTAGTTATTTAAATAAGTGTGTAATATCTTATTTGAATGCTAGACTCAACCCCTAGTTAAGATAAGAGTGTGTAATATCTCTTAACACCAACTTGGTTTGCTCCCCTTTCCCAAAGAATACTTCTTTTCCTTTCCCGAGCCGCCCAATAGTCGATTATCACTTTTGCCAATCGAGTATACATCCTTCACAAAACCCCCGCAGCCTTCAATAGTCGACTATCAATCTTAGACAATCGACTATCCACTTCCTCAGAAAATCTGTAGCCCACAATAGTCGACTGACACCACCTGGTCAATTGACTAACTACCTCTCCTGAAACTTCTGAAAATTCTCCCGAGAAACTGAAGCACCTGTTAGTCGATTATCACACCTGGATAATCGACTATCCTCCTTTCCTGCAGTTTAAGAAGCTTTGTTCTTAAATTTAAAGCCTAATCCCGGAGCTCGGGTATAACATTTGCTATCAGAGCTCATTGTTCTGCATCCCCAAGGACCAAAGCACTTCCCACAAGCTTTCCCCTTCCCCCTTTTCTACCACCCCTTTGTTTGCAGTCCAACCATGTCAAATGAATCTGAGCCCATGTCTCATGAAGAGCTCGTTGCATCCAACACTGCCTTAAAGGCCCAAGTAGAGTACTTGGCCAAGGAGGTAGCTAAGCTCACCAAGATAAAGCTCAACACCCTTCAAGGAAGTGATCATGAGGATGATGCTAGCACCAGTAGCACCACCAAGGCCAAAACTAATGACGGGTCTGATTTCAAAGTGGACATCCCGACCTTTGAAGGAAGGAATGACCCGGACGAGTTTCTAGAGTGGCTAGAAACGGTGGAACGCGTCTTCGATTTCAAAGAAATTTCCGATGAGAAGAAGGTCAAGATAGTGGCCTTGAAGTTCCGCAAGTATGCATCCACGTGGTGGACATGCCTTCTAGAACAACATGGAGTCGTCCATAGAGCACTATGGGCTTCACGCCAGACTTTCTTTAACGCCCCGAAAGTTTATGAAGTTTGTCAATAAATAATGAAAATTATATCGTTATGAAGAGTTTGACTGTCTGACCCCGAGGGTTCAATGGGATTTCAATTCAGAGAATGTTGTACCAAAAAGTGTACCCCGACTCGGACCGAATTAGTCCCAATCAGGGTCTTGCGTTTGGAATCTCGAAAATAACGTTGTCCGCTCCACTAGCCGCTCAAACAAGGAAGGTGACGCAGAATTCTCCACCTTCTTCTTTCAAGCTCTTCTATATAAGACCACCTCCTCTACTCAATTCTTCACCATTTCTTCTCAAATGTCTTCTGAAAATTAGCTTTGAGTGTGGAGAACGCAGTTGTGCTGTAATTTGGTGTGAAGTCGCCGAAGCTAGCCACAAACCTCGCCGGAAGTTTTGCTGGAAATTTTCCAAAATCTCTGTTAAGCTTCAAGGTAAGCCCGTGGATATATCTGGTGACTAGAATGTTCGTATATATCGTTTCTACGTTCATAAACGGTCGTTTGGTTGAGTTTTGTGTTTGACGTGCTTGAAGAACCAAGAATCATAAACCTTGAAATTGTTGTTAAAAATATGAATTAATGATACCAAAATAATCTATGAACCTTGGAGAACATTTCTATATACTTTAATTGAAGTTTGGTGAATAAAAATGGTATTTTCGAAATTGGACCCGAAAGGAAGAAGATGATGAACAGTGACCGAAAAATCAAAGGGTAGATCGATCCACCCTCATAGATCGATCACCTGGGAGACTTTTTCTACGCTGGATCAATCCTAGGTACTGGATCGATCCCCCGACCTGGTTGCTCCGAAAATATTTCTGAAAATGTTATTTTTGAGCTCTAAAATCCTATTTTTGATACCAATCTATTATGATCAATATAAAGATGCTTTTTTCACAATAAAAATGATGTTTTTTACAAATAAAATCTTATGTATGTGATGCATGACGGTAAGGTTGAGTGTTAACACTCGATGTTAGGTCGTTAATTGTTATTATTATTAATTGATGATTATGATGAATGATTATTATGGATGATTATGAATGATGAACCTATTGATTAAAATGATTATTGTTAATGATTGAAGCATGACTTAAAAATGAATATATTGATGATTATAATGAATGTTGAATTTAAGGGTATCTAGAATACTCTAAGATATACCCATAGTAATGTTGAATTTGTAGGGTATCTAGAAGAACTCTAAGATATACCCAAATGACCATTTTAGTTAATTGATATTGAGAAGAAACTAAGATATACCCATTTAGTTAGGCCTTGCGGATATGATGTCTGGTGGCCAGGGTTAAAACGTACGTATGAGATCCACAAACCAAACTTGGGTACCTACTCGTTTGGGGGTACCACCCACCTGACAATGAACATTCCGCTGTTTGTTTTCTGGTTGACCTTAAGCGAAGGTAAATTTAAGATTTAAAAACCTTTTTGAAAATCTCCATCTCAAACTAGGCCTAGCTTAAGGGTTGGTTAGGAATACCTTAAACTAGAATTAGTTTATGAATTAAATTGGCCTTAGACTAAGAATAGCTTATGAGCATTGTTGACACTATAAATGTTGAATATAAATGATGAATATGAATGTTGAATGCTGGACAATAAATGATGAATATTGAATATCGACTATTGAATTGAACATTATGTGCATGATATTAAATGATTTGATTTTGAATTGAGATTCAATTTATATGGATATTCGACGCATTAGATATGCTTACTCAGCTTCAACGCAGAGCGTGTAGTATGTTTTATTTGCTACACGCAGGTAAATAAAAATAATGAAGTGGTGTATTCCTGGCGGCAGATGAGGCAAGATGGTCGGGGTGGATGTGTGAACTTTGAATTACTGTTCTGAAAGACATAAAATTATTATGTTTTGTAACTGTTATTTATTAAGCTTCCGCAACATTAAACTACTCCATTATTATCTTGAATGATTTATTATGAAATAAAGTTTAAAATGTATGAAATGTTTTAGATTATTACGAATACCAAGTTTATACTTTAGTCCGAAAGGGGTTGCAGACCTGAACGAATTAGGGTGTTACACTTCCACCTCTGAGTTCCTGACTAATTCCTCTGTCTCTTTACTGTATCTTTTCTGGTTTTCACATGTATTTTCCTACATCCTAGATCCCCGAGAAATGTGACATTGAATTTCCTTTTGTACTATTATGTGTTGATCCTGTTATCTACTAATTGCTACCTTACTATTGTGCTCACTCACTTGAGCACACACCCACACTTTAATCGCTCTTGCTCCTTTACGTAAACTGGCCTACTCCCATTTTATGGGCCCATTAGTGAATTGGCCCACCTTGGGCTGACAAAATCCCTAGTCAACCTTGGGACCAATCAACCGTTTCCTCTCGCCAATCGTTGCTCTTGTTACGACCTTCCACCCTTTTCGCATCTTCCCAAAATGAAATCCCCAGCTATATAAAGGGTCTTTCATCCTTCAACATTCGCCATACCTTTTACATCACTATCCATTCTTCCATCATGGCTGACGGTACGAAAAAACAAGTCTTCATCGATCTCACCATCTCCAACTCTTCATCCTCAGAGCCTTCTTTTTCTTAGCATTCTTCTTCCGCTCCCTTTGTCACCTCCCATGACAAAGTGGGATTGAGCTCTTCGGAGTTTGCCAAAGGTTATCCTCATCCTCAATGTTTCTTAGCTTCTTCGCCTCCAAGCCCTCCAGGGCTTCTTTCTAGGGAGATAGATAGCGACTCCATGAAAATTCAAGAGTTTTCCCAATATCAGAGGATGCGCCAGATCAAGGCGGAGGAGACTCGCCTTGCAACAGAAGCAAAGAGATCTGGTGGGATCCGTTCTGGTTCACCTCTGGCCCCGCAACAATCATATGCGTATGCGACAACAGTTGCGCCACTGAACTCGTGGCCGGAGGCACGGGAGGACGATGGTATGCGTGCGCGAAAGAAAAGGGAAGACGTGTTGTGTGTGTGGGTGGGTGGGTGGGTGTGTGTGTGTGCGCGCGTGGGATATTTTTCACGTTGATAAAATAAAATATTTTTACGTGTGTGTACATGAGATATATAAATAAAAAATGAGAATATTCTTTAAAGACAGAATATGAGATTTTAGTAAAATATGAATTATTATGTATTACAGTGAAAAATGAGATTATTCTTTAAAGACGGAATAAAATTAGAAATATTTTGGATAATTTTTCTTGGAGTTCCAAAATGCATTTCACGCTGGTGATGTATTGTGCGCCGTGACTCTTTTGTAGGAGAAAACTATAGAACACCAAATTTTGAGTCCTTACATACTCCTACATCCAAATGTACATCAAGACATCAAGACAGATATTTATTTTTGAATAATTCAAAACTCATTCTAAATATTTTTTTTAATATAATACGTAGTATTCAAAACCGGTAAAATTCTTTTGACCTTAAAATATGACCCAAGAATAACCCATGTATTTTGATACACCTACACTACTCCGTTAATAAATAGATAATTTATACAGAATTACATATTATAGAGTATCTCATATACGTTGATAAAATAAAATTTAAATGAGGTGTAGGTGGTTTAGTTACATGTACTCACCTTATACATAATCATTATTCCCTAAAAACCCTTAAATATTCACTAGATAAAGTACTACGAGTAGTGATTCCATGCACCCAAGCTAATGTTCCTAATGCTAATGGTAATCTTAGTCCTAATCCTACCCCTTATGCTAATCCTAATCCTAATGCCTTAATCCGAATCCCCTATCACCTAATCCCGTAATCCTAAGGAATCCACATCTGCAAAGTTCATAAAATTAAAATAGACCTAAGAACCGAGAAAGTCAAGTACTGCATACCAATTCTCCACTAATGCACAACACTTCCACTCATACAATTGTATGAGAAAACTGTTTGCACCTTAAGATGTTCACTCGGTTATTCTTTTCTATTTCTTTAAGTAGTCACTCTCGGTTAAATTACTTAAATCTATTTCTCATAACTTAAAATTCCCCTTGGTTCCCATGATAATAAGCATAAAAGTTGATTAAAAAATTGACGGTTCCTACCCCTCCTAACCCCCCGGTAAACCCCCCCACCCCGCCCCGACCCGAACACACCCCCACACCCCCTTCAATTGCACCCCACAAGTCGATTTTGACTTTGGAGTCAAATTTTGACTCCAAAGTCAAAATCGACTTGTTACAATTGAAGGGGGTGTGGGGGTGTGTTCGGGTCGGGGCGGGGTGGGGGGTTTGCCGGGGGGTTAGGAGGGGTAGAAACCGTCAATTTTACGAATGGGGCACCGGAGCGCCACCCGGGTCATCCCATGACATTGGTTCCCAATGTCATGGAAACCTTCCCCCTTAAAATTTACGAAAAACCAGACGAAATAGAACCCAAATTTCAGAGGAAGTGAAAAAACTCAGTTATTAAAAATATGTGAACGGAAATTGTATCACAATGCAGACCCAAAACACAATAGTAGGAATGAAATAGAAATATAATATGATAAGTGAGAGACTTGGGAAACTTGACAAAAGGGTTTATGCTACTGCATCTATAAATGCTCTCCCAGGCTGGCGATTTGCAAGAGGTCCATGGCATCCCAAAAGCTAAAAAGAAAAAGCAAAGACGATTTCTCAACTCAGATATAATAATAAGCATAAAAGTTGATTAAAAAGCAAGTTCAATTAGCAGATGTACCAAACCTTGGCATTGACACCATCAGGTACAATGCGGCCTTCCTTCTTGTAGTTTACATAATCGGTGCGGTTGAATTTTGTGAAGCCCCTGAAGAGTAACATATGATGAAAGAAAATTAAATAATAACTTGAGTTGATGAAACTGGAGAGGGAAAATGTTAAGACCCAAAAAAATGGTGTCCAATGACTAAGTGGATGTTTGGCAACAGCTTCAACATTTAGCGTTAGTGTTGTGAAAAGGTTTATCTCATGGAAGCAATGGCCGCATTTTCAAAATCAATTTGCACCATTAAATATTTATCCAAAATACTAATTCTTATTGAAACTGATATTACCAAAAAAGGCCTAACAATAATCGTGGCATGATAGACGAGTTTTGTTTTAACTGCAAATTGTGGTGCAAGGAATGTGCTGTAGTGAGTAATGAAACTTTAACAGCTTGGGTTGAACATCAGGCATACAAACAGACTAGAATAATTGTGTTACAGCTAAGTTGACAACAATTAATATATGCAATAACTTTACTCCCATCATCTGTGTACTAGTTGTGCTATGAGACAAGAATAAAGATATCTTCAATTCACATTTGTAATACTTAATCTAATGTA